AAATGGAGAAGGAAAGAAAAGAGAAGAAATAAGGTGGGTGTAATATTTTGGGGTGCAACCCAGACCAGTGAGAAGTTGTGTCACCGTCACAGCCTGTACACCAACAGCCAGTAGACAAGCATGTAGTTCCCTGAGTGTCTGTGTGTACTATGCAGCACTGGCTCAGCACTCTGACCCCAGCAGACTGCCTACAACACAACAGCTCTACCCTGGTCTCCAGCAGCTTTGGTGACTACTTGCAGGGTGACCCCAATACATTCCAACTCCCAAATTTCCCCAAATTTCCATCTGCTTGGAAGTCTCGAGCCCTGTCCTGGAACACTCAGAGAAGTAATAAGGTTTGTTGAGCCTTAAAAGAGATAAAAGTGCACTTTATCATTTTAACTGGAGTGAACAATCTCTTCAATTCAAACAGTAAAAATAAAACAAGTTTATTAACAAAAGGATATAGGTTAAGTGATACCAAATAGAAGGGATTGAAGCTAGAATGGGTTAACAAATGAACAAAAGTAAAAATACACTTTCTAATGACTAAGACCTAACTTAACATGGCTGACCAGATGCTCTGGCCAGGACCCAACACAGGGACCACAAAGCGCTAGGTTTCTTTGTCTCCTCAGGTGTCAGATAAAGATGGAGTCTCTCTTTGACCCTTATGTTCCAAAGGAATTGTCTTTGTCCTAAAAGTCAGGAAGGCCTCCTGGTGAGTCAGTCTCCTGTGTCTCTCTGGGATGCAGGAGCCATGTTCATTCTCTGCCTCTCGAGTTCAGTCTCAGGATAACCCCTGCTCATTTAGCTTGATGGCTTTGTTTTTGCTAATATGTGAACTGAGGTCAACCCACATTCCTTTGTTTATGACAAACCTGTTTGTTACTTTTGCCTAGGTTAGGCCATCTGGTTTTAAACATGTTCTAGTAACATCAAACAGAGACAATTCATAACTTTACATATGACGTGGTTACATTCATTTTATAATGATATTACTGACCAGTGTGTTATTAGTTTTCAAATGATACCTCACAGGGCATATTCTGTATAAATATCCTTGCAGTAGTGTGTTGTGGTGATGAATACATGGGTGCCTAGGTTCACAGTGGGGAAGATGACACATGAAGCGTGGCAATGACAAAGTTTCACATCCCAGGTGTGGTTCAGGTTTAGCCAAGGCCAGTGGAGGTGATGATGTCATCTGGGTCCCTCTTTCTGGCCCGGCCTGGTCAGGACATCTTTCAGGATCAGAATGACAGAGGCCCATCAGTGTTAAAGAAGATCCCAGTGTCCCAAGAGGTAGCCATGATGTTGAAGCTTGCTGCCGTGGTTGCTGGCAGACATCTTCTTCTTCATTTCTCCCCCAAAGTCTTTTCTTTTAAGATCCCAAAAGGGATAAAGACTGATTCAGTCTTTTTGTCTCCCATTTGCACATTTTCCCATCAACATTTATTGCTGTAGGCTATTGTGTCATTTTATAAACTTTCAGTCACTTCTCATAATTAAGGCCATAATTAGGGTACATCTGTAGGCCCAATTATCAAAACATCCCTTACTTAGGATACATGGCAAAGTCCAATCTAGCAGCTAGGTAGCACTCTGCAACTTTCAGTTGCCCTGTTCTGATGTATCACATGACACTTACTTGGTTATCCAATGCTCGTAGACCTTTGTCAGACAGAGTAGGTGCATCAATAAATGCACAAGCAACAGCTCTTCTTATATGAAAATATCATGTCAATGTTTTATACACAAATTAAAGTCCCCAGTATTGCAAATGCTATATAAATTATTCCATTCTAACCCTCTGTTTTCAGTCACTAATAAAAACAACGAGAGTCCTTGTGACACCTTAGAGAATAAAAACCTAATAATTTTCTAAATCTCACCATTCAAACTAAAATTTTCATGGCTTGGTCATGGGCTGAATGGGGATTATTATTTTTCTTTAAGTTGATGGGAAAATGATCCAGCCATTTTGGAGTAAAAGCAAAGTGGAAGGAGTAAAAAACAAACTCCTGCTCCATTCAACAATTTTTTTTTTGGCAAATCTTTATATGAACAGCTAAAATGTCTAAGGGTAGCCCAATGCTGCAAATGCTTTGTAAAATAAGGTTAGACTTAAGCATATGCTTAATGTTAAGTACAGTATGTGCTTAAGATGCTTTGCTGAAACTGGGCCTTAGAGTTCATGAAAAGTAAAAGACAGACTGGACTGTCAAATGAAATCCTCTCTTTAGCCAGAGAACAAGTTCAAGACAAACACCTGCAATGTGCACTTCCCTACATCTCCCTATCAAAGCGCCTCAAACTTGTATCCCTTCAGATTTCACTTTATTGGATGAAAAGGCTATTTTTACACTGGAACCATTAAAATAGCAATTTCTCAATAGTTTAAACAAAGACGCCATTTTCTTTCAAAGAATTAAACATGAATATACAACAAGCTATGAAACGCCATTTGTAAAACGTAAGTAAACTTTCACAAAATGCTTTCTTTGAGACATATAGGGGGACCAAATTAGTTGAACGTGGCTTGAGTGCTTTGTTTCCTCAAAGCTCTTGCAAACTTACAGGTTCCTACAAGATCTGAAAGGCTATATTTTAATTTGTAAAATAACTGAATTTTAGGGGGAAATCTTAAATATTTAATATGAAAAAGGTTATTTTGGCCTAATATTACACATAATAAAAACATAACATTTTTTCTACCTTTAATTGTATTCGGACCTATAAAATGTTTGAGGTCCCATTATATCACCCTGGCTTACACGGAGTACTAATCAGTGAGATGACTTGTGAAGTAAAGTGCTACAAGATCAGAGTAAGGGCATCTGAAACCGGCCCTTAATGATTTACATAACACTGTATACAAAAGAAAGGAAACCATGCAGACCACCCATGACCAGCCAACTATTATGGCAGCTGCTCTGATAGTGTTTGTAAACAATAAGGCTTTTTTCTTTTAGATGTCTCTCTGATTATTTTTTACATGCTGCTTGTTGCAGCTTCACGTAACCTGTTAACATGCCAGTTGCATTCTTCTGTACATTTTCTAGTATGAGTCTGAACCACAAAGTTCCAGATCCAAATTTCCCGAAGTTTTAGAAGTGTTCAGATCCAAGGTTTGGGATTGGCTCATCACAAAGGTAGATAGGGGCCACTCATAACATTTCTATCCAAACCCAAACTTTCCCAACGATTGGGATTGTCAGGATGCAGGGTTTCAGTTTAGGTACGTCTGTAATATGAAAAGTAACAGCAAACTCCAAGATATGCTGTTGTAATGAGATATGCTGTTGGAACTTCATGGGTTCCAGAAAACTACTGGACGACTGAATTATAATGTACCCCAGGCATGTGACACACATCCTAAGAATCAATTTACACCACATTATAGGTGCTGCTTTTCCAAGATTCAACACAGTTTACTGATTAGGAATATCAGCTTCTTTACTGCAGAGATTATGTAACTAAAATCCACACTGCATCTTCCTTAGGTTCTTTTTTTTGTTCATTATGAACCTGAGTCAGCAAACTAATTAGGCCCCAAATTTAGCAAAGCACTTAACTTTAACTTATTCCTTAAGCATATGTTCATGACCCATTGTAATCAATGGAACAACTCGAGCTAGAAGTTACGTATGTGCTCGAGGACCTTGCTGAGTCACAGCCTACTAAAACATTTAAAAAATGAAAGCAAATGAAAAAACCAGCCCGTTAGAGTGTTGCCATCTAGTTAAATTAGTGTATATAACAAATCCATTACAGTACTTGTTACATCATAGTTCTATGTGCTCAGTTCCCTACAGAGCAGAAAATCTCCGTGAATACTTAGTGTTTCCTGAAGAAGTGACCTACAGTGCTAGTTCATGTGGATTTGCAAAAACATTAGTAAACAACACAATGTAATGTGAAAAACAGAGTATATGAGCTGAGGAAATGACTTGATCCTGCAAAACGTAAGCACCTGCTAACTTTACTTATGGGAGTAGTGTGCATTGAGCTCTGCTAGGGCCTGCTCCTGAGAAGCAGTCAGCACCCTCAACTCCCAGAGACTTCAGTAAGATGTGAGTGTGTTCAGCACCTCTCAGGAGGCATTACATGCCTTGCAAGATTGAGCCCCTTGTGCGTGTTTCCAAGATTTGAAAAATGATGAATGGAGGCTGTTTTCAGTCTACTTTTAATTAACTTATTATGCTCTAATACACAGTCATAGAATCATAGTAATGTAGGGCTGGAAGGGATCTTGAGATGTCATCTAGTCCAACCCCTGTGTGGAAACAGAACCAAGTAAACCTTTGTTCAACCTGTTCTTAAAAACCTCCTATGATAAGCATTCCACAACCTCTGTTGGAAGCCTATTCCAGAGCTTAACTTCCCTTATATTGAACAATGTTGTAAATGTAAAGGAAATTAAAATATAAATACATTAAATGCCAAAGTTGCCCAGATATTGTCTAGAGAATTAGGCTTCAAGTGTCTTGATTTTCTGACCCAATGTCCATCTCACTCCTGGGACAATAAGAAAAGCTTATGAAAGCAAGTTTTATATGCTGAAACACGACAAGGTGAAGCATGCAATTATGGAGATGATTAATAAATAACACAATGTTCTTCTGCTGTTATGAAAACGAAATTGTTAGCTGTCTAAAGAAACAAACAATGATCCTATTGGAAGGATTGTAACTCCCTTTTGATCGCTATCTATCTATCTCTGTCTGTCTGTCCTTTACATTATCTCTCTCTAGGTATCCCCAGGTGGAGAACACAACTAAAGTCTGGATTTCACATTATGGTATTATGTGTAGAAGAAATTTACACAACTACAGGTGGATAAATTAATGTCAGTGTGCAGATCCCATTTTAGGAGAGGAAAGGAAGCATCAGAATGTGCAATATTTTAGTAATGTCAACCAATCATTATAGAGACAATGTATTCTATTATTACAGAAGTGACACAGACTTAGGATTTATTAATTTGCCATTTGAAGCTACCTGGTCTTTATTACCTCGCACTTGTTTAGCAACCCCGTTTCTTGCAGCCTCGACCAGATGCTTTGTATTCTTCCAGCATGCTCAGGATGATTGGCGTAGTTGCCACACATGCATTGGTGCTTCAGCATTAGACTGTCATAGACAACACCTTCAGCACAAAGACAATACAACAAGAAAATAGAAGTAAAACTGAAATACAAGTTATAATATTCTATACATAATGCTTCCATCATGAACAGATTTTATTTAATACCCAAATTTACCAAAACCAAATGCCTAGATCTGAACACCCCTTAACTTTGGGCATATCAAAATTTGGATCCCAAATGTGCATATTCATTATTATGACAGTACCTAGGATCCCCAGTCATGGACCAGGCCCCCATTGTGATAGACACTATACACACACACAATATCTTGTCCCAGCATAGAAGATAAAAGTAGAATCACTGAGAAATAATGCTACCAGACCACATAATCTGAAAAGAATGATATTGAAAAGTACTGTACCTTGTGAACAGTTTTTAATAGGTAGCATAATTCAATTGAATTACTGAATCATTTATTTACAGTTTATTCAGTTGATATTTTTGTGGCATGGGAAGGGCATATATTTATTGCAGAGTATGGGGAAATCACTCACACTACTCCTGAAAGTTTGATTCAATGTGTTGAAAAAGGTCCCTAAAATGAGACAAAACAAGTCCTTATTTTTATTGTTTGAAAATAATAGAAAATAAAATGTAGATTTTAAACATGCTGTGTATGACATTTAAGTGAGTGGTACAAACACAGCAGCTGGAGCCAAAACCCTTCGTTCATCAAAGAAAAGAGTTATACCCTGCATGAATTTATGACTAAATTTTGCTGTCAGGTCCAAATGCAAGGTTCCCTTTGAATTTGGTTTACTCATATCCAAGGCCGGAACAATTTAGTACCAAACAACTCTCAGTGTCATGTCTATTTTAGTTGCATCTTGGGAGCAAGAAGCTTTTAGGGTATTTTGGTCACTGGGCTCAATTTTAGCCTTTCATTTCAAGTCATGATTTAAAGACAAGTCTAAGGCCTGGTCTACACTAGGCGTTTATGTCGAATTTAGCGCCGTTAAATCGAATTAACCCTGCACCCGTCCACACCACGAGGCTATTTAGTTCGACACAGAGGGCTCTTAAATTCGACTTCTGTACTCCTCCCCAACGAGGGGAGTAGCGCTAAATTCGACATGGCCATATCGAATTAGGCTTGGTGTGGATGGAAATCAACGGTAATAGCTCCGGGAGCTATCCCACAGTGCACCACTCTGTTGACGCTCTGGACAGCAGTCCGAGCTCGGATGCTCTGACCAGCCACACAGGAAAAGCCCCGGGAAAATTTGAATTCCTTTTCCTGTCTGGGCAGTTTGAATCTCATTTCCTGTTTGGACACCGTGGCGAGCTCAGCAGCACTGGCAACGATGCAGAGCTCTCCAGCAGAGATGGCCGTGCAATCCCAGAATAGAAAGAGGGCCCCAGCATGGACTGATCGGGAAGTCTTGGATCTCATCGCTGTGTGGGGCGATGAGTCCATGCTTTCCGAGCTGCGCTCCAAAAGACGGAACGCAAAGATCTATGAGAAGATCTCTAAAGCCATGGCAGAGAGAGGATACAGCCGGGATGCAACGCAGTGCCGCGTGAAAATCAAGGAGCTGAGACAAGGCTACCAGAAGACCAAAGAGGCAAACGGACGCTCCGGATCCCAGCCCCACACATCCCGTTTCTACGAGGCACTGCATTCCATCCTTGGTGCGGCCGCTACCACTACCCCACCACTGACCGTGGACTCTGAGGATGGGATATTGTCCTCGGCCGGTTCCTCGGACATGTTAGCGGACGGGGAAGATGAGGAAGGAGATGAGGAGGACGAGGCAGTCGACAGCGCTTACCAAGCTGATTTCCCCGACAGCCAGGAGCTCTTTATCACCCTTACAGAGATCCCCTACCCCTACCAACCCTCCCCAGCATGTAACCTGGACACAGATTCAGGCGAAGGATCAAGCAGTAAGTGCTTTAAACATATTAACCTTTATTTTTTACAAAACTTGAATATTAGTACTAAGAACAATCTGTGAATCATGATTTCTTCCCCCTGGGCGCTTAAGTAATCAGTAACAACTATTTAAAAAAAATCAAACAGTGTCCGGTTGTGCATGATTGTGCTGCCCAAGCTGCTCCACTCTTTAGTCCCTGCTACTGCAGCTACATTAGAATCCTGTCTATATGTCCGGGGATAGAGCAGTAGTCCTCCACGGACATCTCCACAAAGCTCTCCTGCAGGTAATGGGATAGCCTGTTCATCAGGTTCCTGGGGAGAGCGGCTTTACTTGGTCCTCCGAAGTAGGAGACGTTCCCGCGCCAGGAGACAAGCAGGTACTCCGGTATCATTGCCTTGCATAGCATGGCGGCATAGGGCCCCGGTCTCTGCAGGCTTTCTCGAAGCATCCGTTGGATCTCGGTGTCTGGGATCCTCATGAGAGTAATGTCGCTCTTGATGACCTGCTTTGAATTAGGTAGGGGACTGTTAGTATTGGGACTGCTTGCAACAAGTTCCTTTACAGAACTGTGACCGCTGGTTTACAGCCACGCGGTGGGGGCGGGAGAGGGGCAGCATACAGGGATCTTTCCCTGGCTCATCCGCGAGGGGGTGGGACAGGGCCAGAGTTCCTGCTTGGGCGATTGCTGGCAGCACAGACTGGCAGTGCTTTCAATGTGAAAGGAGGCCAGTGGTACTCCTAAAGTTTTAAGCAGCCACAAGTCTACGGCTTACCATGTTTGCCTGCTACAGAGAGTACCGTGTCCTGCCCCGCTTCCCAGATCGGCAGTGCAAAAGCCCAGGCAGTGAAGGCGAGGTTCAAAAATTCGACCTTGTCCTGAGTGCGCATGTGATAGGTGTGGTTCATGGTCTTGTTCACAGAGAAAAACTATGTTCTTGATTCACAACCACATTTATCTTTCGGAGGAATTCACTGCCTTTTCCTCATTCCCACAGCCACATCTGCAACTGTCTCCCAACACTGCTTGGCATCACACTCCCAGAGGCTAGCGCACATTAGGCGGAGGAAGAAGAAGACGCGAGAGGACATGTTCTCAGAACTAATGGGCTGCTCCCGAGCCCAGGCAGCACAGCAGAACCAGTGGAGGGAGAATTTGTCACAAATGCACCGGACACACATGGAACGTGAGGAGAGGTGGCGGCAGGAAGACCAGCAGGCGACTCAAACGCTGCTTGGACTTCTGAGGGAGCAAACGGACACGCTCCGGCGCCTTGTTGATGTTCTGCAGGAACGGAGGCAGGAGGACAGAGCCCCGCTGCAGTCTATCAGGAACCGCACTCCCCCGCCACCAAGTCCCATACCCCCCTCTCCCAAAGTCCAAAGAAGGAGGGGTGGCAGAGTCCGTGAAAACTCTCACTCCACCCCTGCAGACTGCTCAAGCACCAGAAGGCTGTCATTCCCCAAAATTTGAAAAGTCCTTTCCTGCCCGCCTCACCCAAGCCCCCGTCCAACTTTCACCCCCCAGTTTCCTGTCTGGTTGTTAATAAAAAATACGTTTCTGTTCATTACTGTTTCAGTCAGGTTCTTTTGAGGGAGAGTCTGTCTGGAGGGGGGGAAGGGGCTTGGTAATTGGACAGGACAGTCACCTTTAGCAGGGTACAGAGGCGGGGGCAGGTCCAGCAGCAGGGCACATACACAGTGCAGTGACTAGTTACCCTGGTCAGTCTGGGAGGTGGTTTTCATGTTCTGTGGGGGGCGGGGGGTGGTTGTTTGCTCTGTGACTTTGTGGCGGGGGAGGGCAGTTACAGATCTTATGCAGCAGTCCTTGTCCTGGATCACAGAGCCACGCAGCAGGGGAGCTGTAACCCTCCTCCCCCTGCCATAAAGTCACATAGCCCCCACATACACACAGTCCCGCTCAGGAGGGCTGGCAGGCTCCGTTGAAACAACCAGTCCGCCACTGCGAATCCTGTCATTCCTGGAGTATAGAAGGATCATTTGCATCAGTACACTACACCCGCTCCCCACCACAGTCTGCGTCCCCGGTTTCAAAGATTCCCACGAAAACAGTACTAAAGACAACGGTGTTCAATAACAAAATAAAACTGATTTTATTTTTTTGGAAGGGGATGGAGGGGGTCTGTAACTGGAGAGGATAGTCATCCTTAACTGGGTAAAGAAACGGGGGCAGGTTCAGCTTCTCTGTACAGAAACGTAAAAGTCACTGGTTACCCTGCTCACTGTGGAACCTAGCTTTCAAAGCCTCCCGGATGCACAGCGCGTCCCGCTGGGCTCTTCTAATCGCTCGGCTGTCTGGCTGGGCGTAATCAGATGCCAGGCTATTTGCCTCAACCTCCCACCCCGCCATAAAGGTCTCCCCCTTGCTCTCACTCAGATTGTGGAGCACACAGCAAGCAGCTATAACAATGGGGATATTGGTTTCGCTGAGATCACAGCGAGTGAGTAAGCTTCTCCATCTCCCCTTGAGACGTCCAAAAGCACACTCCACCACCATTCTTCACTTGCTCAGCCGGTAGTTGAACAGTTCTTTTTCAGTGTCCAGGGCGCCAGTGTAGGGCTTCATGAGCCAGGGCATTAGCGGGTAGGCTGGGTCCCCAAGGATCACTGTAGGCATCTCCACATCCCAAAGAGTTATTTTGTGGTCCGGGAAGTAAATACCTTCCTGCAGCCGTCTAAACAGACCAGAGTTCCTGAAGACGCGAGCGTCATGAACCTTGCCCGGCCATCCAACGTTGATGTTGGTAAAACGTCCCCTGTGTTCCATCAGTGCTTGCAGCACTATCGAAAAGTAGCCCTTTCGGTTGATGTACTGGCTGGCCTGGTGGTCCGGTCCCAGGATAGGGATGTGAGTTCCATCTATAGCCCCACCGCAGTTTGGGAATCCCATCGCGGCGAAGCCATCTATGATGACCTCCACGTTTCCCAGGGTCACTACCTTTGAGAGCAGTACCTTGACGATTGCGTTGGCTACTTGCATCACAACAACCCCCACGGTAGATTTGCCCACGCCAAACTGGTTCGCGACAGACCGGTAGCTGTCCGGCGTTGCAAGCTTCCAGAGGGCTATGGCCACTCGCTTCTGGACAGTCAGGGCTGCTCGCATCCGGGTGTCATTGCGCTTCAGGGCAGGGGACAGCAACTCACAAAGTTCCATGAAAGTCCCCTTCCGCATGCGAAAGTTTCGCAGCCACTGGGATTCGTCCCAGACCTGCAGCACTATGCGGTCCCACCAGTCCGTGCTTGTTTCCCGGGCCCAGAATCGCCGTTCCACAACATCCACATGACCCATTGTCACCGTGATGTCCTCGGTGCGGGGTCCCGTGCTTTCTGACAGGTCTGTGCTACTCTCAGACTTCAGGCCCTCACCGCGGTGCCGTAGCCTCCTCGCCTGGTTTATCTGCATCTGCCTCTGGGAAAGGTGGATGATAACCTGCGAGGCGTTGACAAGGGCCACAACTGCAGCGATGGTCGCAGCGGGATCCATGCTCGCAGTGCTGTGGCGTCCGCGCTGTCACTGACCCGAAAAGTGCGCGAACTGATTTCCCGCCGGCGCTTTCAGGGAGGGAGGGAGGGCGGTAGTGACAGACGGATGACGACAATTACCCAAAAGCACCCTCGACCCTTTTTTTTACCCAGAAGGCATTGGCGGCTCGACCCAGAATTCCAATGGGCAGCGGGGACTGCGGGAACTGTGGGATAGCTGCCCACAGTGCACCGCTTCCAATGTCGACGCTTTCCCCGTTAGTGTGGACTCACAAAGTCGAATTACTGTCCTTAGTGTGGACACACAAGTTCGACTTTGCAATATCGGTTCCACATATTCGATTTAAGTGAAATCGAAATACCCTCGTAGTGTAGACATACCCTAAGACACTGACAAGTCATTTTTATTTATTTATTTTAATTCTGGTGTTTGTATTTCCCTCAGAAATGACTGAAATAAAAAATATTTTCCTAACCACTTAGGATCTTTTTCATTTGGAAAAACTTTGGATTTTTTCCCCCCTTGCATTGGGATGGGACTAAAATTAACAACTTCTGTAAATTACACAATTCAGCACTTAAAACTTCCCTCTTATGCACCAATATCACTGATTATGCCAAGACATTTCTGGTAAAATTGCATTAGTCTGCTTTTTCTGAACAGTCAGCCAGTGAGGAAAATATAAAATTAAAGTTCAGATTCAACAAAGCACTTAAACACATCATTCAGCACATGTGTAAATTAATCATGAGCACATGCTTAAGTGCCTGTTTGCACTATGGGTAATGCAAAGTTAAGGTTGTATTTAAAAGGTAGAGCATTCCAAATTATGGTGCTTCTGATACCTTAATTTTTCTATATTACCAAATCCTGTGCATTTTAAACCTGATCCTGTGCTGGGAGATTTTCTGTTCACTTCAGTGGCTATGAATGTGGGATTGGACTACAAAATGATAATACGCTAGTAAAGTTTACATATTACATGAGCAAGAAAAACAACCTATATGCAACACGGCAAAATTTATGTTGATTGGGCATCCTTGGTGTAGCAAACTTAAAAGTGCATTAACGCTAACTTTTTGCATTGACCTACCTGGTTTGTTTTCTTTTAAAGGAAAAAAGGAAATCTGGAGGTAATCATCTAATACAGCTTAAAAGCTCTGCTGGCATTGCCGATACAGTTTAGAATTTTCTTTCTCTACAGCTATTTGCGTTGTACAGTTTACAAGCTTTCCTGCTTCATCATCAGGGCTTATAAATTCTCAGAACCAACAAATGCACACTCATATAGGTGCATACTCACATGCTATGCATTTCTCTTCTATGCCCATATAGTTTTATTTTTTATGCTCAGTATACACCTTTCCAGTGGGCAATACTTGGTTAAATAAAGCACATTTTTTTTCAAACTAACTAAAAGCATATGTCTCTGGTAAGTGCTGTGGCCAGATTTTCAAAAGGTATTTAGACACCTAAAGATGCAAGTAGGTACCTAGTGAGATTTTCAAAAATCACATAAGCAAGTTAGGTGCCTAAGTCCCATTGATTTCAGTGGTTCTGCTCACAGTGCCTAAAGTTAAGCATCTGCAAAGTCTTTACAGGATCAGGGCGTATAAAACTTAGCCCTCCCTCCACCTGGGATTTGTCCTGATTATTCTAGTTCCCCAGAGGGTCTCCCAGAGTAACCCCAATTCTAATCAACAGAAATAAAAATACTATTAAAAGCAATTAAAAGGTGCTGTGTAATAGTTACTTTTTTGGAAATTATATAGGCATATGTGGCTTTGACAATTTTGAGGCTATTTGTTGATGATGCCTAATAATGCAGATAACCATGCAAACATTACATGTTTAGAAGTGGCAATACTGTTCAATTAGCATGTTCCCTAATACAGAGTAAAACAAAAATATAATGTTATGGTAATTGAGTTATTTTCTCCAAATCAAAAAATTAATTCAGCTTGGATGAGGTAATGGGTCACTACTATAATTTTATGATGGAAACATCCACCCCAAAAATTTAAATGGTAAGATATTCACACCACCAAGTGCATAATTTACTTCTAAACAGGATTACTTGGTTTAAAAAGAGACTGAAATACACATTTTCATTTACTGAAAGCATCTAAATTGATTTAGGATGTGCAAATAATTCAGTGACACACAGCACATGTGTTTGGTAGAATACCACAATGCAGCAGCAGAGCTCACTGCTAAAAATAGCCTGTAGGATTTCCCCAACAGGATTCAGCCAACAATCTCCCCACCCCCACAGAAGAAGAGACAACTGTTTTCAATTGCAGGCTGCTGTGGAACATTAGTAAAAGACAGTTACTCTGTCTTTCTAGAAAAAATGCCTAGGGCCAGATTCTGATCTCATATGCCTTTGTATAAATCCACTGAGGCCAGTAGAGTTATTCAAGATTTACACCAGTGTAACTGAGGTTAGCATCTGGCCCTTAGTGACGGAATAGAATGGTGACCTCACTCAACCATGCAATGATAGATAAGGGACCAAAGAAATCTAGCTTTCATTTGGGTCAGAAAAGGTGAGTTGCTCTTAGTCAGGATTGCATAAATCTCATTCTATTCCAAAATTCCTTATCTGGATCAATTTTTTTCATACCATTTGAAACAATGGGGGGGAACACCTAAAATTGTGGCTAATACATATCTTCATGACAATGTTTTCTATGAAGCTGGAACCATAAAATGTCATTGAGAACAATAATACCAATAGCAAAGCCCAAGAGAAGGAGTTCTAATAAATTAAACAGCATAACAATCTAAAATAAAAAATGTCAAAAGTCTGATATAAACTGACCAAATGACTATACATCAGACAATGCCGTCGTTCCCCATCTTTAGCTCACAGTCATGTGCTTAAATACTGCAGAGCTTGCATGGCAGTATTCTGAAACCCAGGTTTTTGCTAATAGTGTTCTCTCCCACATCTCACAGACTAATGGCAGTTTTAAGTCAAGCATTCAAAGGTTTGGAAATGTTAAAATTAAGGTTGACTCTGCAACCTGAATTCGGCCCTCATGTGTGTATGTATTATCCCAGACTCCATCCCTAGCAGCACCACCTATAACACTATCACCTATCACACCTATAGCACTACCAGTATTATCTATAATAACAACTCCCTCTTCACACTATTGGCATTTGCCTTATTGCTGCTGCTCATTGCAGGTTTATACGCATTTTTTTGGGAACATCTACAAGCTTCTTACTCTCCAAGAGTGAGAATCCTACATCAAGGGTATCTTTGGAGAAGGAAAAAATGCTTAAATTGTTATTTTGTTTCTCTGAGGATGTTGTCTTGCACTCATTAACCCATTCACCCACTTCCCCTTAGTGTTTACAGGTTACCTTTTTCAGGTGTTTTTTCTTTTGCATCGTTTTTCATTTTTTCTCTGAGGCACATTTTTTTATATCATGCTGATCACCTCCAGTTGTCATTTCTCTCTGCAAACTTTATTTCCTGCATAGTCAAGTAGCTGAAATATTTGGAGGGCAGTGACAGCCCTTGGCAGGCTGATCAGTGGTGGCCATTAAGGGGTCTGGCTTGCACTCTGTTCCACTACCCTGCACTCAAGAATTATAAACTTTAAAAGCTAGTGTAGCTCTGCCAGTCTCATGCTAAGGAGCTATGACCCAAGAGAGAAACCTAAGAAATAATATTTTAAGAGAAGCAAAATTTACAAGTCATTTTCCCTTTCTTCCTATCAGAATAAGTAAAGCATGATTTATCTCCCACCTATAGGCACACACTGTATTTTTAGATTTATATTTCTATGGGTTAGATTCTCTTTCTTCTGATTAGCTGCAATTGGGGAACCCGGCTTTCTGTTTAAGGCATTTTCTTCCTATCATTGGAGACTTTCAGGCCCCTCAATCTTTCTATGGATCATATACATATGAGCTGCTCATTGAATGTCTGGAATAGATGGTGTCTGCCCAGGAAAACCTCTCCATCGATAGCTTTCACACAAAACTGTTAAAAGACTTGAAGCCTGTAGCTGATATCACTGTCCCGTGACTGATCACCTCATTTGTGCTGCCTTTACTTTGTTTTTCATAGTGAAGAGCAGCACCCCTGCAGGAATGAGTGATATTCCCACTGGAATCAAATGAAGATGTTGAGAATCATATCCCAGCCTTGCCACTTACTGGTGGTCTCTTTTCAATGCATTGGTGGTCTCTTGCAAAAAGAACATGAAGAAGAGAGGCAGAGGATGGGGAAATAAAAGAAAAAATTGTAAATGACTTAAAGACACCAAAAATGCACCTGTTGCTACATTGCCAGAGCCAGTGGACGATAATAATTTATGACTGTGTGAATATTAACCCTGTGATTTATCAGCTGCATTGGTTGATTTAATGCCAATAAGGCGTCATAAAACCCAGTAACGGTGAGGTTAAAAATGAATGCATTGCTACAGGAGATATTCAAGGCATTTAAATCAGTTGAGCCCACGTGAACAGTGCATTTACTCTGCCTATTAAAAGAGGTCCTTAGGGAATCCTACCAGTCATGTAGACAGGCTGGATGGGCCGGTCCATTGCTGGATGAGGTAATGTGGAAGCAGCAGGGGAAGACTGGGTCCTGGAAACAGGCCGATGTTTATCTAATCCTGCCATGCCAACTGTAGCCATCTGAGCCTGGTACATTTGCAACTGGTGGATACGCTGATGCTCCAGGATCTGCTGTTGCCAAGAAAACAGCACAGTAGAACGAAATGTGAGAAGGGATCAAGTAAGACACTGAGAGAAACATGTCAACAAATTAAGTTCATTAGGTCAGGGCTGTAATAAACAGTGTGAAAAAAAAAACCCACCTAAGACCTAGTCAATAAATCCATTCAACAGATGTTTTCACACTGACACTGAGGGGGTGCCCGCACTGCTGAATACTATGTGATGGCAGGCAATCTCTCAATTCTCACTGATGGAAAGAAACAGCTCTACCCACACAGAGTAACATTTGACTGAAGACTTTTCTAATAAGTTGATAACATAATATTATGCAGGCTCTGTACTAAGTCTATCTGAGGGAGAAAAAAAAATCTTCCTACAGTACCTCATTCTAAGAGAAGGATACTAAGCACTTGCACTTAATTTGTTGAATCTAGTGGGCCAAATTTTACAAAGGCCTCGATTTAATTTTCATCAAGATGTCTGGAAAATGAGAAACATTTGAACATAAATTTTTGTGAAAAATTTAGAAACGTAGGAATCTCCATGCTGGCTCAGATGTAAAGTCCATCTGGTCCAGTAACCTGTTGCTGACAGTACCAGATGCATTCGAGGAACGTGGAAGAACCACACAGTAGACAGATGTGAGAAGATAAGGGAAGGTAGATTTATCCCCTTTTTGTTTGTCAAAAAATGTGAAAACTCAAAATTTTTCAATGCACTCTTGGGTGAAACTCTAGCCTTACTGAAGTCAATGTGAGTTTTGTCATTGTCTTCAATACAGCCAGAATTTTGTCCCAGGTCTTAATTTTTTATGCACATTCCTAGGCCCACAACTGATTGCTGATGCAAAACTGATGGTGCAAAACTGAGATTTTTACAAAAATATTTAGCTCTAAAATAACTGAAATATAGATCACCATTTTAGGGCTATACGTTGCATTTTTCTTCACCAGGCACTTATGTTTACTGATTTTCTTTGGAACTAAGCAACATATAATCAATGCATTGGCTCATTTAGTACTGCTGCAGACCTGGGTGCAATAGCAAGTCCAGTTTGCCAAAGGCCTGGACTGCCATAGAAGGTATGTTTCAATGCTCAGAGAGCGGAAGCAGAGTTCAGTTTGTACACAAAAGCAGGCGGGAGTACACTATTTCCCCTAGCTAGCTATAGAATGAATCCAAGATTCCTCGAAGTGTAAGTGGCGGTCCTATGGGAGAGGGAATTAAAGCTTTTCCAAGGGACAGATGCTCAAAAGAGGGGTATTCTACAAGAGATGAAATGGGAACCAACAGTTAACAGACATGAAAGCCCCCTCACCCACATTAATACCCAGAGTCCCCACTTCAGTGAGATGATGTTGAGTCACAGAGGATAAACTGCCTAGTTGTATTGCCATAAAATGATGCAACATAGAAAGAAAATGCAAATAAATAAAAAGAGCTTTTACAGAAAGTTGCTTGGTTTTAAGTCATGAACTATTTTCTTTCTTTCTTTTCTTCTTTCAGTGGTGGTGATGTAGGGTGTTATAAATTCACAGAGTTACTTGGTAATAGCTCAAGAAATCACTGCACCCAACTCCTTTATGAACATATCACAGGCACCAGACACATAAAGGAATCCCCCTTGCCAAAAATGCTTAATAGTATGTTGTTTTAACACACCTGCTGAAGTGGCATAATGTGATAGTGAAGATATGTGTTGTGCACCAGATTGAACGTGTCTTTTGTAGCCATAGCTGTGTGAAGTGCTCATCGAAGGGACGGAATAGTTGTGCATTGGCAGGATAAAGAGGAAACATCATATCTGTGGAGGACAGAGGCAGACTCAATCTAAGTGAGTTTATTCTGTTCACCTCTAGCTATGGTTTCCTGGGAGAAAGCAGGAGCAAAGTCTGAGAACCTGGATATGTGAATTCAAGAGGAGAGGGACATTGGACATCCAATATTTTTTATGTGCTTTTAAATAGTTACGGTACTTTTGACCTTAGTGCACTCTATATTTGTGTTTGAGCTCCATGGTATCTATAAAGGATACTGTTTTCAATTGTAGCCAGACGGACTGATTTTTCTACGTGTATCAAGCCGAATGTATCTAACAGCTTGTCTACCAGATATTTTAGCAAGAGTTTCTGATAAAATTTGCTGAAGACCGAGAGAGAAGCTAATTCCTGGGTTTCTTATCCTGCTAAAGTCTGTCCTCACATAAACCTATACAAGTATCTAGAAATTGCAACAAGCCTATTTGACATAACCAGTTTAGAAAAGGAAGAGGAATCGTGGTAGGATATTCATTTTAATAGCTACTGCTCTACTGCTAGGTTAACACTAGAACTAATAATCTGTGCATAGCTTCTAAAATTTGTTAAAATAACTTGTAGTAATTTGTATAATGGGGATTCATTTTGGGGTGAATTATTCTTTCAAGATATCACAAAGCCCCTTTTACTTTAAGAATCAAGATTTTAGATACCAAGCGGATGTCCTCTTATCATCATGGCTTCTGTTTTAGGTTTGATTAGTTTTGAGCCAGAGATTTAGGCTGAATTCCAGAATTAGGTTAAAGAGCACAGCCACTGAGCTCTTTGATTTTTTGATAAATAGCAGTGCATTCGGAAATTCCTCCTCCCCTATATATTTATGCCTTGAATCTGTGAATAATGCTGTATCACACTGGCTAGGGGTTTAATTGCTAATGTATAGAGTAGCGGTGTTAATTAACACCCTTATCTGGTTTCCCAGAAAGTGCACCTGGACTTGGAAGGATGATGCTTAACTCAATACTATGAATTCATCCTTGGATTCCCTGTGCTGTAGCACTGTGAACATATGTCCATGTGTCCAGTGATAGGACAAGAGCACTGTCTGCACATCTGTAGTTAGTGATTTGTATAAATATATCTGGAACATTTCTTAGGTTATCTGAGCCTTGTCCTCCCTGCATGAAGCCTGTTTGTTCCAGGTGCATGAGATTAGTTCATTAGAGGAGTTAGGCAATTAGGGCCTGATCCAACAACTATCCAAGGCAGTGAAAAGATATCCATTAAATTCTCTTGACACTGGATTAGGCCCTTAGTAATTATTTTGAGGAGGATTTTCAAAGCAGTATCTAAAAGGGAGCTGGGTCTTTTGGAGATAGGTAAGTTAAATTCTTGTTGTTCTCCCAGTATTACTATGATAACTGTTGCTTGTAGGGAATTGATCTCAGTTTAGACTTGATGTGAGTGCTCCCTGTAGGGGCTTATGTGTTTTTTCCTAGGAATGTTATATAAAAATGTGATTCATATCCATCAACCTAATGCTTTGTATAGACTATGGATTTTAATGAGAGCTATTTCCTTTGTTTCCAATGGGTCTGAAAGTTGCTACCTGATGTTCAGCGAGGTAAGTCAATTTTGTTGTTGTCAGGAAGTTATAATTTTCAAGATGAGATCAGGGGTTCCTTCTGTTCACTGTAAAACTGCTATAAGGTTTAGTACCACCTGCAGTAATTTCTTCTGCTCTGTTGATTATTTTGTTCTGTGTATAGTAAAAAATAGGTGCATTCATGCTCTTCTAGAAGATTGTTGTTTTTTCACCTGGAACCCTACCAGCCTACTTGCTGTTGTTCTAAACAGTTATGTAGTTTCTGTATTGTTTTATCTGTTCAATTTATCATGATAGTTTTAGTCTACAGATTTGAGTACCTCCCCTTGTATATTTAGAAATAGCACAACAATGAGCTCAAATTTCTCTTTCCAATATTTTGTTTATTTTCTGATATAATTATTTTACCCTGAAAACTGCTTTTCAGGCTTTGCACAGGATTATTTCTTCATTGGTTTTCAGGGAAGCCTTTTTTATTTATATCCCTGTAAAATGTTCAAAATTTTGAATTTCCTAAGATTGAAATCAGTGTTAATGAATTGCTGTCAGAAGTCAAGCCGGTGAAACAGGTTGCTTATGCCCATGCTTTATAACCATCTACAGCAACTTCTATGGATGTGCTTCTAACACAGTGGTTATTTCAAATGGAGGCACAGACCCCTTTGGAAATCTTAGCCATTGTTCCGTGGACCCCTCGGGTGCACAGACTAAGTTGAAAACCACTGTTCTAGCACATAGTGCTCAGAGCTGTAACAGGCCTAAATGTCCATTAATCATGTTAGTCCTTTTTAAAATGTGATGGCCTCAGTGTTACCAACCCTGCAAGTTCAAAACTCATGTGATCAGCATAAAAATGTTTTCAACTCTGTGGAAGTGGCCCCTTTTTGTGCACTGGGATTTCCAGAAACCACCTGGAAATGCACAAAAATAAATACATGCACAGGGTGGAGCCGCCCTCCTCCTCCTCCTCCTCCTCACTTCTGAGGGCTGATGATGACCCTGCCTCCCCTGCTGCAGGCCAGGCACCTTCCCCTGGCCGTGATCTCTGCTCAGCGCCCTCTCCTCTCTCTGCCCTGGAGGCCCGCTTGCAGCTGTCTCCCCCTGCACACTGCGCCTGGAGCGGTGCAGGAGGAGGATGCTGGTGAGGGGAGGGTCTTCTCCGCCACCCCGCGCCCCTTGGCGCCTCCTCAGCGCATGCAACACAGGAGGCTGCTAGGAGCTGCCCCTGCAGCTGGCCCAGCTCTGCACGGGCAGCGCGCGAGCCCGAGCGCTCCCCGCAGCACGCGAAGCCCCGGCCTCTGCTCAGGCTGCCAAGAGCAGCATCTGGCGGCGGAAGGCGGAACTGCAGCACTCGTTTCGGGTCAGCCCGGAACCTGCGCGCCCGACAGAGGCAGCTCGACGCGCTTCGGCGGGACCGAGGGACTCGCGGAAGGCAGTAGGACAAGGGGTGGCAAGGCGGAGCATTGCGCGGCCGGGCGAGGCTCCTGCAGGCAGCGGGGCAGTGTGGGACCAGCCCGGGGAGCAACGTCTTACCAGTTCGTGCTCGGGCGCGCAGGGAGGGCGAGCCTGGTGCAAAAGGTGTGCATGGGAGAGCTGGGCCTAAGCCCAGCCGCCTGGCTGGGCTCTCTCCAGCCACCCTGTCCTGG